ATAAAAGAAATTAATAAATAATGCTCTGAGTACTACAACGTGAGTAGAAGAAACTCTCTAACTTCTTCCTTTCTTCTTCCTTTGCTCTCTTAATCCCGCGCAACCTTCATTTCCGGAATGCAATAGTCCCATTTCCATATAAACTATGGGACTGACGGAAAGGTCTGTCACCGCCCCGTTCTGCATGCTGCAGCGAAGTGTACCTCGCAGTAGCAGTGGTTTGAGTTGTTTGTCGCAGGATGATGACATCATCTTAAACCTCTTGTTATGTTGCGGGTCAAATTGGCCTGTTTTAAAGTTTTTAAAATAATTTAAAAATAGTTTAAAGTATTTTTTCTGCATGAAACATTTTCAATTTGTCTTAATAGGTATAATTTACATAAAGTGTCTAATTCTATTTATGTCTTTACAACTGTGAGACATTTCACCTCAAACACACACATGCACACTTTCTCCCTATTTTTATTTACTTCGCTAGGACACTGCAAGAATGCAGGTGTTTTTATAACCTTTGATGAGAACCTTTTTGTTCTCATGGGTAAACTCCMCCCATATTGAGAGGACTCTCAGCAGGGGTGGGGTAGTATAGAGTACTAAAAACATTACACACTGCAGATACATATATAGTTACTCAAAAAATGAGCAGCAGAAATAAAAAAGTTCATAACCCTGGAAAGGCAGGAATTTCTCTTCAATCATGACGGTGAAACAGAAGATGATGTGTTTGAACCATTCATGTCAGAAAATGGTGAAATACAGTGGTCTTCATCTCCAAGAAAACAACAGGGAAACTGTGTGAAGAAAATATAATAAAAACAKTGCCAGAGCCTATATCGGGCAGTAACTCGTGTCACAGACATCAAGTCAGTCTTTGAGCTGCTAATGCCCAGTTCAATACAGAAAATCGTTCTTGAAGTGACTAAACTATAACAAAGGTGTGTTTCTGGGGAGAATTGGAAGGAGATGGATAAAGTGCATTTTGCACATTTGGAGGTCCTCATCCTGGGGTCCACAAGTCGAAGTATGAATCAACAAATAATCTATGAGATGCAGAGACAGGCAGGGCAGTATTTCATGCCACAACATCTCTGGAGACTTTATATTTCCTCCTAAGTAATCCAGTTTGAAAATTGAGAGGCAAGAGCTGACAGACAGGAAACAGATAAACTGGCAGATATGAGGACAATATGGGACAAGTGGGTTGAGCAACTTCCACTGCTTTAGGCCCTAATGTCACAGTGGAAGAAGGTTTGTGGTGTTCAGAGGTTGCTGCTCATTTAGTCCATGACAGACAATAAAGTTTATTTTCAGTWCAAATCTTCATGACTCATTTGTCCTGGTTCTTAACTAGCGGGTCAATTTGACCCAGAACAGAGTAGGTGTCTCAACGAACATAACAGGAGGATTAATTAGCTAACACTAACCACTGCTTAAGATRGTWTTTAAGGGTGTATTCACACCATCCTGGTTTAGCCCACTTTAATCAATCAATCTCTAGTTTGATTGCCTAGAAAGTCCAGTTCATTTGGGGAGGTCCATCCATTCATCCATCCATCCATTATCCATACCCATTTCTTTCTTTCAGGGTCACGGGGGGTCACTGGTGCCCATATCCAGCAGTCACAGTGTGAGAGGCGGGGTACACCCTGGACAGGTCACAAGTCCATCAGGGACACATAGAGACAAACGAGACAGACGGAGAGAACATGCAAACTCTACCCAGAAAGGTCCCCGGGCCGGGATTTGAACCGGCAACCTTCTTGCTGAGAGGCAACAGCTCTACCAACTGAGCAGCCACTTGAGGAGGTGTGAACGCTTAATCGAACCCTAAGGCTGACCAAAAAAAGCAAACTCTGGTCCAGCTGAAAACCTACAACCAGTAAAATTTGGCATCACTCCTTGTTTGTTTACAGTTTGTGAAGAAGGAAGTTGTGCTCCATGTCTTCTTCTGAGGTTTTCATGTCAATTCCTTCAGTGGTTCTTGGTGCAGCGCCCCTACAGGCGAGGGCGGGAACAGGTTGTTCACAGGGTTTAGTTTGTTTTATAAAGAGCAATGTGAATGCCAACCACACCAACTAAAAATGTAAACAAATGTTGCAATTTTGGTCCCCAATTGAACCAAGTCAGTTGTGAATACGACCTTAAATCTAAATTCAAAAGGATTTATAATTTACACATATTATTTATCATTTAAATTTAACATTTGGGGGAAAATGAGCAAAATGTTCGAACAGTGAGCTAAATAACAATAGAATGCTAGTGGAATATTTTACATAGGAATATGAGCTAAATAATGAAAACGTGYTAGTGACATTGTTTAACATTTTATKTTACACATGGYGCCCCATAAYGGRATGAGTGAACAGAGCCTGGAATTACAAAGCTGTATGTAGCGTTAGCTATCATTAGAATGGATTGGTTGGGTTTTGCAGGTGTGCAAAAGCACTATTGAAAATTAAGATGTCCCACTGTAGAAGACGACTGCTTTCGTCAGCTCCCCGTTTGAACCCCCACTCTCACATTCTGCCACCTTGTATTTCCACATCTCCTTTTTATGTGAAAGAACCAGCCACGCTTCTGTCCCCCTCATCCCATGCACCTTTTTTTCCCTTTTTTCCCCACTGTCTCTTCATTCTCTCCTAGCATTCTCTATTCTCACCCCWTGCATTGTCAGGAAACAGCTCATCAGGCAGAGACATCCATCCAAATGGTCGGCTTTTGTCAAAACAAACCGAGACAAGCATTTTCTCTCCAAACAAAAACGAGCCACAGCTTGAGCAGCAACACCTCTCTGATGTTTTTCAGGCCTCTGGCTGTGCTAAAAACAAAATAAGTGTTGTTTGTGCRTCTGGAACATTTCACTATTTTGCCCCCTCTGTGCTGATGCTGTCCATGCCAGGATACCGACAGGATGCTCACGCCCTGTTTGGCAGTCAAAAAGCAGCACGTTTGCCAGATAAATGAAGTTGCCAATTAACAAAGTCAAGGTTGTGTTGYGCTGCAGCGTTTGTTCCAGTCCAGAGGATCAGCAACGCCTCGTATCAATCAAGCCGGCAACTTGTTGTCAAAGATAGACGGGGATGTATTCAGAATATTCATAGAAGCTCTGATTCTGCTTTGAATGCCAACATTTTCTCTCTCTTTTTAATTTGTGTGTATTTCCAGCTGCGAGCTCATGCAGTGGACATGAATGGAAACCAAGTGGAGAATCCAATAGATCTGTACATCTATGTGATCGACATGAACGACAACAGACCCGAGTTCCAAAACCAGGTTTATAACGGCTCTGTGGCTGAAGGCTCCAAACCAGGTGAGTGTGAACTGCTCTGCATGACGACACAGTGGAAGGTGTGACATAATGTGGAGTTCAAACCATAAATCATCAAGCTGGGTGGAGCTGCTGATMCAAAAACATCTGTGTGGACAGGGATGGGCCATGGCATAGGCAGTATAGGCAAATGCTAAAGGCTCCATCCATCCAGGGGTGCCACAAATGGGGGATAAAAAATATATTTCATATCGGAGTACAGTTGATTTAGTCTGTAGAATAATCACTGGTTACTCGAGTTTCTGAAGGTAACGTAGAATAATCACTGGTTACTCGAGTTTCTGAAGGTAACATGTTCTAATAATAATAATAATAATAATAATAATAATAATAATAATAATAATAATAATAATAATAATAAATTGTGATTAGTTCCATATTGAATGAATAAGAGAGCAGCCTTCATTCATTTGAATTGTGGCATCTCKTGTTATCCATCTCAAATAAAAAGAATCTCTGTACTTTCTATTTTTCTTTGTTACACTCCTATTTGTTCCTCATGTTCATTAAATACCTGTTCGTACTTCTGCTTCAGTCAGTCACCTTACAGCAGAAGTTACTTTTACGATTGGAAACAGTATAATAATCACAAATAAAGTTCCTATTCTCATCATTTTTTCTGGCATTTACTTAGAGGCCTAAACAACATGCAAACTTTATTAAGTCCTGTCATTGATTTGTCTAGATCTAGTTACCATGCAAAGTTTTTTTTATTTACTTTTTTATAAGTAAAAGCCTCTTTGTCGCCTCTCTCTAAATTGAATTGCATTAAAATCAGTTTCCAACATTTCACCTACAAGCCTGTAGTTTTGTGTTTGAAAAGGTAAGGAGCAAAGAAATTCATTCATTCAGCATGACCACATGAGTCAATATTTGTTAACACAGTCCTGAGCCTGTTTTGTTTACTTCCAGAACCTAACATACAGTATAGAAGCTGAACAACGGGRCGCCTGCTGGTTCTCTACATGCTGAACAAAAATACAGCTGCATTGTTACAGCAGAACTTATTGTTCTTAGTCTGCACTTTGTATTCACGTCTAATTGTCTGACTCACACTGAGGAATAAAATACCTTTAAATGCCTGAATGTATTAATTTAATATTATAGTCATTAAAATCAATGCGTGAAAAATAATCACTTAGACCAGCACTTCTGTGTGGTTTCAAGCTGCTCTCTGCTGAGGATTACTAATGCAGTAATCCATCTGGAGCCGACTTTAGACTGATTTATGAGTTGCTAAAAGGTTTTAATGGATTAGTTATATTTAATTAATACCMTGAATTGCAAGCAGAGAATGTTTTAAGTTGCTTCTGTGCACAAGCTCGTATTACTTAAGGGTGCCTCGGCTGAACCAATCAAACRCCCTCACGTCAGCCTGCCGAAAGACCCCATGTGAAGATCTGAGCTGCTCCAGACGAGGCCGAGTCGATTKGATATTTGTAGCGCCGTCCCGGCTGCAGGCGTCATTATCAGAGGCTGCGGAGCATGAAGACATGCAGACCTTCCCTCAGAGTCAGGGAGCAAAGTTGTGGTCAGCGCCGGACCCCGAGACAAGAGCAGAATGCTCAAGCAGCCCCTCACGTCTCGACTGGAAGAACTCTTGTTCTAACAATCAGACCCCGAGGACCCGTGTTTGTCTTCACAGCGATCAGATATTGTTCTGCTGCAAAGTTTAATCTCATGGGAATTTGTAAACAATATAGGAAGGCATGCTGTGTGTGTGTGTGTGTGTGCATGGATGAGCAAGTGTGCGAATGTGTGTGTGTGTGTTTGAATGCTTGTTTCCACTCGKTGGAGCGTGGGTTTATATACAGAGCTCCTAATTAGCTGAGGGCGAGCAGACATTCCTAAAGCTACTTTCCTTGTTCATTCAGACTCTTTGTGTGTTTTAAAAGGAGAGCAGACGAGGGGGCAGGTTTAATTTTTGTCTTACACTGAGTAAAATCTGTATGTCKTATAGCTAGAAAGAAAATAAAAACACGGCGAATTATACACAGAATCATTGCATTCAATCACTACCAAAGTAGCATATAATGGYGGTGCACGCTTTGTTAGCTGTTGTTGCAGCTGTGTCGCCAAACTCCAATATAAGTGAGGAGTTTAGCCCATTTTGTCTCCATTTTCCTGGGCCATTGTTCTCTAAGCTGCTGAATTTTAATTGGAAAAAAGAGCCCGTGTTTGCCTAACTGCCTGTTTGGTGGGGGGAGGGGAAAAAAAGCAAGAATCGTGATTCATCTTCAGCTGAACCTCCGGGAGACAGACTTTTATACYTTTCTGGGTCATTTAAGCATTTAATGTATATGTTGCCAGTTCAGTCGTTTGCACACTATCAATGGACAGTTTACACCTCGAGATAATTCCCTCTCATATCACTAAAGTTGTTGCATTAATTTCATCCCTGAAAGAAAAAAACATACAAAACATGACTAAATATCAAATTTGGTGGATCAGCCCATTTTTATGGATTTTTTTTACTAAACAGCTGAATATCTGTTAGTTTGAATTAAAAAAAACAAATAAAATACTGTCACAAAAACAGCTTTCTTAAAGTGATAGCTCAGCACTTTTGATGGGGAGTTTTGTGGAAAGGTTGTGAACAGTTAACATCTTACTTGCTGCAGATACAGTAGCTCTTTGACGGGGATGCYACCAGTGGGGGATCAGGGTGTGCAGTATCCCCCAGCCCCCCTTATAAAATGTGCAGCCCCTCATACAAGCCTCCCTGACCAGASTGTCTTACATGCAGAATTGGTTTGTTGTGAACTACTGGATTGCTTTTTGTTAAAATGCTCAGMTTTACATCTGCATCTGATCACTTATTGGAATTAACTGATTCAAGATGGCCGTCCTGACTAATTGGCTTTTACCAACATAATTCAGTCATGGTTGCAGAAATTGAGCTAAAATTTGTTATTGTGGTAGCTGAGACTCATCCCAAATACATACTCTGGGTGCTAATAGAAGATTTTTGTTTAAAATAGTATCATGTATGGCGGCGGTAATATGCATTCTATTAAGGAATGKCCATTTAAATTGTGAAATTTAGAAGAAGAGAATAAACTTTAATGAGTTGCATWGTTTCTGAGCTGTTTCCTGTTTAACATGAGCTGTAAAGGTGGTTTAGGGGTGTGTGATAGGACAGGATCAAACCTTGAAGGATTGATAAGTGATGAGAGTTGTTTTTGTTTTGTGATGATGCACATTAGGGCTGGGTACMACCTAGGACAGGGCGATTTRATAAGATTTTCGATGCAGAGATCATGATAAGGGAATATATTGATTTTTATACACAGACACTTTCACTTGTCTTTTCATGATACTGGCCCCTCCAMTGGCTAAATGGAAACTAATCAAACTAAAGTCAGTGCTGAGGATTTGTAGTTTAAATTAGACACTAAAACCAAAACAGGAAAGTTTGCCCTTAAAAAAATATTTAAACCTGTTAAACAGAAAAAGTTTGGCTTTGCCCCAAATAAGARAGACAAACAACAGTTATAGTCAAAAACCTATATTTCTTTGTTTGTATGATTATGTTTTTGCATAAAACAATAGTTTGGTTGCACTGTGGTGTCTCCTGCAAAATAATACAAAATTAATAGCTAGAAATTTGTGTAAAATATGTGATGAAATTGTGATCATTCTTTTAGTGTAAGAAAACTGATGTATTTTTGGCCCTAAATTGACATATAGCAGATTACCTTAATTACTGTAGTATTTAGCAAACTGCCTCTAAATGACAACAGAATAATAAAAGTCATGAAATTCTGTCATGGTTTTTGGTGCCACACCTTTGAAAATTTCCAGGAGGCGCTACTGCTCTATGAACAGCCAAAGTTTGGAAAAACATAATTTAATTCTGAACTGATTGATGAGCTAATGGCTAGTGGCTAATGGCTAGCTTAGTTTTTTTTAGTGAGAGATGCATACAATTCAACTAATACACATTAAATTGAAGACTTTTTCATGTTGTGTTATTT